GCCCAATCCTCCTCTGTCGAGCACGCACCTCAATAAGGCACCTTAGTCGAGCAGAGCGTTATCTTGTCAGGGAGATCTCGCGCGCTTTCCCCATGTTCTCCATGTGTCCCCCATGCCGGGACACATCATCAGAAAACTACCCACTTCCGAAAGAGATGGTCAAACCCACCTTCCAAAGATCACAGGGCATTTGATATAGGGCGAAGACCATGTGCTGGTCTTCACTACGCCACATAAACCATGGCAGCTACTTGTGTTGGGCTTGGCAATTTGGCTTAACGCAATATAACTGTTGGCCCTACGCTTGGGGCACATTATAAATACCCTCTTTCACTAAAGGGCCAGGTATCTTATTCTCTACACCTATTTTCTTTATAGTTGCTCTTTCTAAAACTCGGGGTTACTCACTTAAGCATCGGAGTACCTTGAAGGTACACCCCTCCTCCTCTACAACGTCGGTGAACACTGCAACTCACGACGCATGGCAGACTACTGATTCCTTTCTGATCAGGTGAGATCACCCACAAACCAAACTCAAGACTAAAGATTCTAATGTACACACAAACAACAATGAATAATAAGGATGAAAAGAAATCTAAAATGTTTGAGACTATGATATGATTTGAAGCATGAGAATGGAGAGCCATTTATAGAGAATGAAAAATAATGAATCTTAATGAGGTTTTGGAAAGTGTAAGGTTGAATGTGTTAATTTGATGAGTGACAATAGTGGAGAGTTTAAGACACTTTGAAGAGTTACAAGACTGAATAGAAGTTAGAAAGATGTGAAGACAAGTGCATGAATCAGCAATGAATATAGAAACATGAGAAAACCTGTTCAATGTACCATAAGCCAACCTTTCCCTATTATATGTCGACCTATGAATGATGTGAGTCGACACACACTGTAGCAAAACTAAAAGAATTTAGAAAATTGTTTCATGTGTCGACCTATACGATAATGTGTCGACACATACTATAACTATTTTGAAAAATCCCAAAATTTATTATTATGTGTCGACCTATGACTTTTATGAGTCGACCAGTAGGATCCCAAATTCCAAACTTTTGACTCAATTGGATTTGTGATGATCTTGAGATACTCAACTTGACTCATGGGTGATTAATTGATGAGAGACACATGTATATAATAGTATTTTATGGTTTGTTAATCATGCAAACATGTAAATTCAAGCATAAAATGGTACGAGATATAGATCAAATATGAAGACATTTACAATAGATCCACTATAAACATGTAAAATACAAACACACAATGGTTACATTTGAAATTTTTGGAAGTGAAATCATATAACAAATATCATACACATAATACATCATATACCTTTAAGAAATAAACAGGAAAAATAAATACATACTTACAATACAAGAAAAAGATTGAAACGATATTACCTCATTGAACGAAAGACGGAGGATGCACTTGCATTCCACAAGAAACTCTCGAACGAAAGTTGAAATGAATGCAAAATGTGCCACAAACACAAACAAATCCAAAATGCTCTTACCACTTTTCTCCTTTATACAAGTACCTGGAAGTGTGATTAATAATGTATCCAAGAAGTGATTGACTTGATGATCATCCTTCTTGTTGGAGTTTCATTCTTTATTAATTGATTTTTAATTAACTTGATTAATTGATTAAATCTATTTTAATTGATTAATTTTGTTAAATGATTTTTTAATTAACTTGATTAATTGATTAAATATATTTTAATTGATTAATTTTGTTAATTGATTTTAAATTAGCTTGATTAATTAATTAATTTCATTTTAATTGATTAATTTGGTTAATTGATTTTTAATTAAATTGATTAATTTCATTTTAATTGATTAATTTGGTTAATTGATTAATTAAATAACTTAACCACATAAAATCAACCTTTAAAAAAATTAAATTAAATACTTGATCAACATCAAGTTGGTTTTCAAAATATCTCACCACTTCATCATTATCAAACCTTTTTTTTAATTTGTTTCGCAACGCGAATAATACCCTTTATCCAATGTCAAGCAGTAATTTTCAAAACTTGTTTCGTTTCGATTAACTTTGAATCAATGCGAATCAAACCTATATTTTTATCGAGTGCATTTTTCCAAATTTAATTAAAACATTTAATCATTTTTAAATATCTTTTCACGAAGGATGAAAAAGGAAATGGTCTAGCGCCTACTATTATTTTCCCCGATTATTTGGATACGAGTTGTCTAATTCGACCATCCGAACAATCGTGATCCGTTAAAAAACATCAACCCAATTCATCTCAAACTAATTTCGTAATCAAATCTTAAGCGGCCTTACTTTCACATTAACTTGGACGAAAAAGAAAATAGTATAGTGCCTACTATTCTCCACTCCCCCCCCCCCCCCCTCAATACTTGAATACAAGTTGCCTAACTCGACCATTCGAGTATTCGTTGTCTATTAAAAACACCATAACGATATCTAATCTTCAATAAAAATAATGAAAAAGGAAATGGTCTAGTGCCTACTATTCTTTTCCTCGATTGTTTGGATACGAGTTGCCTAACTCGAGCATTCGAGCATTCGTCATCCACTCAAAAAAAATATCTCAACACATCAAACCATTTTCAATTCAAAAACCTAAAACACTTTATCAATATCAAGCCCTTTTTCAAACTAATCCAAAATTATGCTCCGCCTATGTGCAAAACTTTTCAAATTCATTTCTCGCCCAAGTGCGAGTCTTTTTTCAAACAACTTTCATCGCCCAAGTGTGAATAATTTTCAACCATTGAGTCTTTTTCCACCCAAGTGTGACTAACTAATTTTCAAAATTAAAATCAACCAGAAAACAAATTTCTATCAACAAAGAACTATGTAGCCTTGAGTTCTCCATCGCACCTAGGGATACGTAGGAGCAAGATTTTGAAATCTTGTTAGGCAAATTAACAAAATACCCTAAAAAATTATTTTCTTTTCTTTATTTTCATATATTGCAAAAGATAGAAGAAAACAAATAACATAAGTTAACATTTAATCGCAAATTTAACTAAATGATTTCGGTTAAGTAGAACAAACACGAGGGGTGCTAATAACTTTTTCTTGTATAATTGACTCTCAAACCTGAATTTGGTTGTGAGACCATCTTCTATTTCTTTTAAGGGTTTTTATCGATATTTTCTCTTTCCTTCTTTGGAATAAATAATGTTTGGTGGTGACTATGTTCAATCATTTTCCGCGAGCATGCGAACGCTTTGCGAAGGATCATATTTTTTAAGATGCGACACTTATGACATACTTTCCTTTGGGTTTTGGCACTAGATCCCACACATCATTTCTGGAAAAGTAATTGAGTTCTTCTTGCATTGCCAAAACCCATTTATAGTCCCAAGGAGCTTCATAAGTGGATGTTGGTTCTATGATAGACATCAATCCAAGATGAGTTTCTTTATCTTGTCTGAATGAAGATCTTGTTCTGATAAGTTTTGACTTGTCACAAAGAGTAGGTTCTTCAGAGTGAGAGATTCTTTGCTTGAGCTTCTTCTGAGGTGCTGGTATCTTAACATCTTCTGATATGTTAGCAGCTTATGATGTTAATTGTTAGGTTTCATGTTAAACACCCTCAGAGTTTGAGTATGATCTTCAAATCTGCAATATTTTCATTTATCCTTGACCTCCTGATTCGTAGACAATCATTGATAGTGAGGGATAGGTTGCAGAGGGATAACGTTGTAGTTTGACTATTGATTGGGACATGTTTTTTTATACATATGGCACAATTGGTAAGTCCGGAAATGGTCACTAAAAGGACATGTGTCTTATTTGTCCATTTAGGTTCCCACAACAAAATGTGTTTATTTGGACAATTTTGTACGCTGCAATCGGTTGGAACTCTGGTTTGTTTGATTTGGAGAAGCAGAAATTGGTAGTAGGTTAAAGTGTAGCAGATGAATTTGACGTGATACAGTGTGAATCCAATCTTTGAATTGATAATTTTCAAATGTGCGATTTCTGTTGCGCTGGAGCTTCTCGATGGACTGGAGCTAAGTGGCTGAAGTATGGATTATTTATCTCATATTAAGAACTGGAGGTTGTAGTCATTCTTTTACAGAATGTTCAATCGTTGTATTAGATTATTTATTATGCTTTTAGAGAAAAAAATTTCCACCTTATGTATTTCTAGTACACCGTGTGGATTTCCCATTATGCCCCTCGTTTCCAGAGATATATCTTCGAACGCACCTTTTGCAGACCCAACCAAGGTCATTCTGAATGGTGCCCCGTACATTTTGTATAGTTTTATTCCAGAGATATATCTCTGGAACAGTTTGAGGAAAACATTTAAATTGTTAGTTCAGTGGATATTCCAGAGATATATATCTAGAATTGTGGGCGGCAATTTGAATATTCCAAAGATATATATCCAAAATTGTGGGCGGCGATTTGAATTTTTTTGTTACCTTTGCATGTCAAGTTTTTTCGGAGATGTACCTCCGGAAATATCTGATATAGCTTCCAGCTGCATGATCAGTCCCCCATTGTTGCCATACTTCATTTTAAACTCAAACCCTCACCCTAAAAACCCTTCATTCTCAATCCACTTTTTCACTCCAAATCTCCTTCCTTTTGGTTCAACATATCACAGGGAGCAAAAGAAGATATAATTTCAGGTAAAGATTGTTCTTTTTTCACTACATTGCTCACATTGATCATGAAATTTTTCTGGAAAAAAGTTACGTTGAGTCTAGAGATGTATCTCCGGAACGCATATGAACTTGTTCAGAGATACATCTCTGAAATATTTATGTGTTCATTTTCTAGCCCTTTCTGCAGCAGTATATTAATTAATGTAATGTTGTTGTTTTAATTGTTTTCAATCGATATGGTGCACCCCCGATGTTTTCTTGAAACAAGTAGTTTATCCGAAAGATGTTTCTTTGAATGTTCAAGGAGTTTTTGTGAAAGTGGTAGATGTTGGCAACGACTTTAACAACAAGAGTTTGAAAATCGTGATAAAATGCTTGAATGGACTCGTATGGAGGCATCTGGACTTGGATTTGGTGTGGTTATCAGAAGGTTCGGTAATGGATTGGATAGAAGAAACGTCTTTGTAACAATGTTGTGCGAAAGAAGCGGGAGCTATCGAACTCTTATCCAGAGTTATAAAAGAGACGAAACGGGTAGTAGAAAATGTGAGGTTCTGTTTAAGCTTCGTGATTACATGTTGGCTAACAAAAAAATGGAGATTTAATGTCATTTGTGATTTGCATAGCCATGATTTATGTTTAAAATTAGCCGGTCATCCTAGTGTATGTCGGCTCAAGCCGAAAGAGAAGGAATGTATTAGTGACATGACCTTGAATCTTGTTCAACCGAAAAATATACTTGCAACATTGAAATGGAAGTAACCCGACAATATATCAAATATCAAGCAAGTGTATAACATTTGGTTCCTCGCTAATAAGGCGATTATGGGGGATAAAATTGAGATGCAACAACTGTTGAAACTATTGGACGATAATAGTTATGTGTCCCGATACCGAACTTGCGACGATGGATTTACAATTAGAGATATTTTTTGGACTCATCCTAATTCGATAAAGTTGTTCAATACGTTTCCAACAACGCTCATACTTGATTCAACCTACAAGACCAACAAGTATAGACTTCTATTATTTGAGATTGTTGGTGTTACCTCAACTGAGAAGACATATTCTGTTGGTTTTACATTTCTAGAGTGTGAAAAAAAGGAGAATTTTAGTTGGGCATTAGAGGTGTGTTGGTCATTTTTGAAGGATCAAGGTAAGATGCCTAAAGCTATTGTTACCGACCGCGATACCGCATTGACGTATGCAGTTGCAAAGGTATTTCCTTCTTCTTATGAATTACTTTTTAAGTATCGCATAACAAAGAATGTGAGAAGTTGGGTTAAATCCACGGTAGAGACGAAACAAGTAGAGTCCGAAGGTGAAAAATTGGTGAAGTCGGGTGTGATTGTGGAAAAAATAATGGATGCATGGAATCGTATAATAAATTCTTCTCCATAAAGAATCGTACATTGAACGGTCCGGCACCGGAGACAAAATGGATGACCTTCTCTGATATGGGTCACCTAATAGCATGTGCATATGATAGAGTGTGTATTGAACTGACACGTTACGGGTTTTCAGGAACTTTTTTTCCACTGCAGACCGCATCACCTCAAAATCCAAATGATTGTATCACGTGTATTGGATTGATTTTAAAGCCAAGTCATTTTATTCAAATTTACTTGAAACTGAGATGCCTCATACCACTTACATCACCGGAGTGGACAACTCATTCAACCGCAAAAGTCGATACGTGGTCGGATCATTTTATAGAAAGGATGTAAGAATTTGATAGAGTGAACAACATTGAAAAGGAATCGAAAGCACAAAAGTCCAAGGGGGTACCACCTATAAATTTAGCTGGTGATACATGTTTCGATTTGTTTTGATTTCTTGTTTAACTTGACAAATAATTGTATATAATGGTACCTCAATATAAATGAAGTGTTACATATTCACTTTTTATTCATATTTAGTTTTTATGCATTTGGTCCATATTTGTCCTTCGTGAACCTTCTGTTATTTGGTTCTGTTTTAAAAATACATCAGGAAATGTTCCGAAGATACATCTCGGAAACATTCTGTTATATGGTTTTGTTTTGAAAATGTATCAGGAGAAGTTCCGGAGATACATCTCCAGAACGTTCTGTTATATGGTTTGTTTTTGTAATGCTTCAGGAAAAGTTCCGGAGATGCATCTCCGGAACAAGACAATAGGGTACTTTTCAGAGATATATATGTTCGAAATAAATATGACAGGCAATTAGTGGTTCATGTTGAATTAGGTGTTTTATAAATTTAGGTGTTCTTATATTATATTTCACACAAACTCAAAATGTCTCGAACTTCAAAAATAAATATTTGTTGGTATGTCGCAATGTCTCCTACTCCGACGGCTCTATACTGGGAGGATGTTTAAGCTCACCAATCTCACCTCCCTCGAAGATATCATAGACAAAATCCAAAATCTTCTACCTTACGGAGACAAACAAAGGGTTGTAAAGCTTGAGTATTATTCGCCTTCGGTTGACAACGAAGGGAATATTATGTTCAGCAAATTTGAGCTCAAGACTCAAGCGGATGTTAGGGTATGTGGGATACGTGTTTCGGTTTCGAAGAGAAAATTCCGCTCGAATTGAAAACGACGCTACAAAATTCAGTCGAAGATATCCTGAAGATATGCTAACGTCTACCTGGATATTAAAATGTAATATTAAATTTTTTTTGTTGAAATCATCATTATAATGATCATTTTATGTTATGAATCTCAATTGCATCTTAGAAAGTTCATTTTATGTTAAATCTGTTTTTAATGTTTTTTGAAAATGTAACTACAGATTTGTACCGAAGATGCATCTCCGAAACAAATCAAACACAATATATAGGACACCACTCAAAATGATATTTGTTGAGTCTGTAAAAGATGCGTTCGAAAATATATTTCTAAAAACATGAAGCACATTTAAAAAATAATCACACGGTAGCTTAGAAATAAGGTGGAAAAGAATTCCTCTTGTTTTTATTACGGTGTATATTTTGGTTCTGGACCGGCTCTGATGGAGAGCTTGTAGTTTGTTAGTAAAGTGATGTACCGAAAACCTACCGTTGCTCCATTTTATTAATACATTCTGCCTTGTTCCTAAAAAAGAAAAGTGTGCCTATGGAGAACTCTTAATTATTATGAGTGTTTTTAAAATTAACATGATTTAAGATCAATGCCAATGCTTTATTTTCATTTTGCCGTAGGTGGTGAGAGGACGGAATTACCTAATGTGGGAATATTAAGAACTACTCACCTCGAAAGAATATCAATGTTAATACTTTATTCTAATGCTGTGATTTTCTGTTTGTTATATCATACCAAATTCTTCTCTCAACTTTAATTTGTTAAAAGGCGTGATTTCCTATTCTAAGTGGGGAAAAAACTGCCCTATATATACAAAGATCAAAACATTTTAGTAGATGATTCAAAACATTTTTGTCCTCCAAACAAAAAGGGAAATATAGTAACAAACTTAAGCTCAAGAATATGAAGGTATTATAATATTCAGTTTAAACTACAAAAATGCTATATATACAAAGATCAAATCTACTAAAATTAACTATTTTAATTCAGGGACCACAAGGATACTATCACATAATATCACCAAACATGGCAATCACTAAATCTGTACATTTAGATTTTAAAAAAAAAAAAATCAACAATATTGTTAGAGACAAGTTCAGGAAAGCACTTGTTTACTAGAAGAAATTCCACATAATACCCATGTTCCAATTTATTCTCTTCAAAAATGTCTCCCGTGGATCAGCTCGATCCAAATTTACAAGTACAGCCGAACATAGCACCTGCAATAGTACAAAAGGACAGATAAACCTTTACAATTTAATACAAGCATAAAAGCACCCTGAAACACGATAATAGGGCCGTAAGTGGCAATATGGGCTTAGGCAAACATAATGGGCCCAAAGTTTGGAGGAAGAGCATGCTGAGGTGGCAGAGAGAGACGCGCGTCAGTAATGGGTTGGATGTGAATTCTGTTATAGAGGAGAGTGGAGTGGTGAAAGAAGGCATGGAAAAATAATTTTCTGTTATTTGGCAGAGAATTGAATATTCTGAGGTGCTGAGCTCTGTGGCTAGTTAGGGAGATCGTTCCCTATTGCAGTTATCACCTTTCATCAATAATAATACTTTCTCTTATTTTGCATTTGCATTTTTTACTGTTTAATTTCCTAGATATCTGGTTCGCATCACAAGAGAACTGCCTAGAAAGGGGGATAAACATCATGTTTTGAACAGCAGCATAGTCAATTCAATTTGTCGAGCTTACGCATGTTCATTTGCAACTAAGCAAGCCAATGCTTAGATTCTATGGGTTCTATTCAAAATATTTACTGTTAACTAGCAAAGACTGAGTGTATATGAAATACAGGTTCAACAGAATATGGGTGTCAAATGTTTTGAAAAAAAAAATTGGAGATCACAAAACAAATGTATAATGGAGCTAGACATGGCAACAATATCCATACCTGCGGTTACCCACTCAAACCCATCCCGAATTTGACAGGGAAACCCCACTTTGACTGGGTTCGGGTTCGGATTTTGGATTTTTCCCGATTACAAAATATGGGTCTGGGATGGGTAATGGGGAACTAGTATCCACCCGAACCCGTCCCCTTGATAATTTAGAATATTTGATTTTGATGATTTAGAATATTAATTGTTTGGTTAATAGTATACATTGATATTTGATTTGTTCTTTATTATTAAAATATTTGAAATGTATAGATGAAATTTTTAACAATGTTTTAATTTATTATTTCTAATGTATGTTAGAGTTCCCGATATATTATGAGTATGTGGAAATGAACTATTTAAATTTAAAAAATTGATTCAAATGTGGGGATGAGATGGGTCGATGATTACCCGAACCTGTTTGGGGGCGGGTTTTGGATATTCATCCCCGTTTAGGTTTGGGGTGGGGAACGGGTATTTAACTAGGATTCAGGTTTGGTACGGGGAAGGTAAAAGCCGTCCCCGCCCCGCCCCGCCCCGTTGCCATCAAAAGCCGTCCCCGCCCCGCCCCGCCCCGTTGCCATGCCTAAATGGAGCTCTAATCAATTTTCTTGTTGCCCCAGAAGAGACCCACTTTGGGATATTTATGGTATTAATAACTTCCTGGTTATACAAAGAATGTCAATATTAAGATCAATGCAAGAGAAAAGAACAAACGAAATTACCCATGTGAAAATTAGTGAATCTCTTTAGCTTTGAGCACATTCAAAAGGGCGCATTCGTAGTGATCCTTCAGGAAATTCGTGCATTCTAAATGGTTCTAAGAGCTCAAAGGGCCTGCAGAAAAAACAATCAGTTAACCACAATATCCTAAATGGCTGGTTTGTTTTGGGAGGCATTAAAGGATAAGCCAATTTATTTAAACATGTTTATGTAGCACAGAAATAAATTAAAAAACGGTACATATTGAAATATCATGCTCAATTGACGAACAATGACAGTTAAGTGAGGAAGACATTAAATCTAACCCTCCTAGCAATAGTCATACATCTATCACCTGGACACTGTCAAAACTACAAGTACAGCCTACTTTATCAGATTAAGTCAAGAAATAATTATCGGATAAACAACTTGATCAGAGTAAGTCGAGGATCAATGAAAACATAAGAAACTTCTGAAGTTGGACATAATACACCTAACATTAAGAGCAGTAGCCCAATAAATACAGAAGCTAGTCATTTTTATGACACCAAATGTTAAGAACAAAACTATAGACTGAAAAGTATGTCATGCTTGTCACCATCAAATTTACTTGAAAGATATCATGCATATGCATGAACAATAAAATTAAAAACCTAGCTGCAGAACTTTATCATTCATAATCCAATATAGGGTGAGCTTAAGATTCGTACAGGATTGAATCCCTATTACGGGATAACTTTTGTTGATTGTTCTCCATAGCAGTCAACACATCACCAGTCTCTGGTCCTGCAGAACCACCAGCTACAGAAGAAGGAACAGGAGCACGTGGAGTCCATATCTAGAGCAATCCACCACCAGCTTCAGAGATTGAAATATTTTATTAAACCACAATACATCATAGAATTACCATTCTCACCTTTATTGTGCTGTCAATCCCACTGGTTGCCACAGCAAAATCAAACGGATGACTTTGTACGCAATTTACAACTGTAGAACGAAGATATAGCTTTAGATAACAGTGCAAAGGGAAACTCCAAAATCTACAAAACCATAGGAAAACAATGTTACCAGATTCGTCGCCACTCAGCATTTTCATGAGTCTACCAGTTCGCTTTTCCCAAATAAACCATCTGCCATCATCACTTCCGCTGGCAACATATTCACCTATAAACAAGTAAGAAGTTCAAAACAAAAATTGCAAATATGGACCAAAATGTTAAGCCTCACACTTGCTGCTTATTTT